CACTTGAATAGAGTCTGAATCAATGACTCAGGAAGAAACAAGAAATACTGTTCAGCTATTTTTGTGTGGGTCTGGGCCCATTACTCATGTGTATTGTCACTAAAAAGGCTCATTTTATGAGCAAACCAAATTATGCAATATATTTTAGGTTCTTATTTTATGTCTGAACTTCACAAAGTAGTCTCCGAAACATCTAATCGTCCTGGAAGCCAAAAGATTCAGGAGCAGCTTGAGGCAGATGAAGGCAGGTGTACAGCATCTGTTCTTGTTTGTTAGGAAATTTAGGGAATTTCCTAATCCTGTTTCTGTATGTGAGAAATCTGATCTGAAATTAGCTTAGGAAATTTGATCTGAAATTTATTATATTTATATTCTGTCTTTTTTTCTCTCAAGGAGCTCAAGGCATTTATATAATTCTCAACCTCCTCCCAAACTTATCCCCACAACAACAACCCTGTGAGGTAGGTTGGGCTGAGAGTCTGTGACTGGCCCAAAGTCACCCAATTAGCTCCATGACTGAGTGGGAACTAGGATCCAGATCTCCGGACTTCCAGTCCAACATTCTTAATCACTACAGCCAATATAAACCACTAAAATTAAGTTGTGCTTGAAATTCTCAACTAAGGAATGGTAAGCAGTCGTATTTCATTTAAGAACCTTGAAGCAATCTCAGACTATTATTTGAAAAGTAAATTTTATTAACTTTTGTAAATAATTTCAATTAATGAACATTTTGGGTTTTTTTAATTTTTAAAGATTGTCTCCAGGAGTATCAATTCCATTTCTACATCATAGAAATCAGGCTACTAAGTTTCTTTTAGCTATGCATACCCCTTGTGACTGTTGTGATAACAACTCTGAACAAAAAGGGGGTTGGGCTATGTAGGGATGAATGGCAGGCACTCTTGTGGATACATATTCACAGGAGCTCGGTAAAATACTTCCTTTTTTGCTAGTGGATGGGAGGGAGTTTCTCTTGTCAGGGAGCTTCTCTGTTCCTAGTGAACACCTTTTATTTTAAACACTGCTACACCTGCCCCCCAAAAGGCCTTCTCTTTGCTTTTGATTCCCACCCCTGAAGCCTTTGTGTTTGTCACCTCCTTCCACTGGTCTCTTTTGCTAGCTGTCAAATGTAAATAAAGGATTCGCAGAAGAGAGCAGGATCACACGCATTTCACAAAATTAATGGCAGGGCAGTAAAACAGAAAGCAAAATTACATGACACAGCAGTACAATAGTGTAGGAAATTGCACAATGAAAGTGCAAATGAAAAAATGAGGAGAAACACAAATGAGAAAGTGCACATTTTGTACTTTTCCAAGCACCTAGAGGCTCAGAATGAAGGACAAATTGTGCAGCCTGATGGGACCTGAAATAGAGAAAGAAAAAAGAGAGACATGTGCTGCATCTCCAGAAACATTTTACATAGCAAAAGATCCATGGCATCTTTATTTTACATTGACAATTTGTCTTTTGCAAACTGTCAAGAGGAACCAGAAGTGGGGGAAATGAATTTGCAACCTTGGCTGGGGCAATGTTCATGCTGGGTACCTGCTGCCTCTTGGCAGCAGACTTCCCCCTGGACATTGCCTCATCTGAAACTACAAATCCCTACAGTTGTGCTATTGTAAAGTATCACAGTTGTATAACTGCACTAAAAGAAGAGTGAAAAATAATAAAAACCTGGGTACAGCTGACTTTTGCATCTCCCCTCTCTCCAAAAAGGAGGGGAGGAACCTGAGGCAAGCCCAGAATAATTCATAGCAGGAGTGGGGAGTACTGCTTGGACACTTTGGGGGCAGCTGACACTGGGACTCGCCCAGTGGCTCCCCAACAATAGTGGCAAGGGATTTGTTTATTTTTGCTGCTCTTACCAAGGCCTCGCTGATTTCCCATATGCACAGTGGGATTGGTCATTTGGGTTCTGATGACAGAACGCTTCATAGATACAATAACCCCTAGTACCTCTAGAATCAGTTGTTGTGGTGGCCTGTGTAGGCAAAAGCCACACTAAGGAAAACAATTCAGGTTCAGAAAACAAGATGTGTTGTCATACTGCACCACCCAGTCAATATTAAAAAAGTGACAGGTTAAAATCTGCCCAACCTACAAGTCTATTACAGGGAACAACCATCACCCACTTCCAAAATAGTCCAAACTAACTACTCAGAGCAAAAAGAAAAAAAACAGTTTTCAGTAGCTGCCATGCAAAATAAGCCCTAGAAGCATTTTTCCATTTCAAAACAATTGCTTTTTTGGAAACAAGTATCAACATGCAATGTGGGAATAATTATCAAAATGCCCATTTTATTTATATATCTAGTATGATGCTACCCCCCAAAAAATGGATGGCCTCAGCTTCTTTCCTCATGTTACAGTTCCAGGGAAACGGATGTTGTTACTGACCAGATTCACATATAACACTAACCCATTGTTTATTGAACTTATAGTTTAACCTATGGTTTGTTGCTCTACCCAGCATTTGTCTGGCAGACTATTAAACAAACTGCTCTTCTTTCCCTCCTCAATCCCTGGGTTGTTTTCTTCTTCTTTCACTTTCTTCTTCCTAATATCCCAAATGCCACTCATACTGTAGCACTGGCACACAGAACAGCTGTTTTGTTGTTTGTTTTTACTATCCTTGCCCATAGCCTCTTTAGCCTGGCGAAAAAAACAAAACAAAACACATGTAATGACAACTTTTCTGCCTAGAGTTCACAACCCCACAACAAGCCATGGGTTTTCTTTCTGGGTTGTTTGTGTAGTTGGGTTCATACAATACAATAACCCAGAATTCAACAACCCATACCATGATAGTGTCATGGGCAAACTCTGCACTAAAGTTGTTTCTAGAAAGAAGAAGGGCAGAAAGAGAGCACCTTTAGGTAATAGATAATTCCTGCTGATCTACCTGCTTGCAACAAAACCAACTCTAATGAGCAGCAGCAGGAATTCAGTTAATTGCTGTGGTATGATATGATAGTCTGAAAACAGCAAGAAAATGAGATGGGGCACATGCTCAGGAAATAAAGGAACTGCTACTGGCTATACCATAGGAGCTGGGTGTTGGTATTTTCTCCTCTTTAAAATTGCACAGCTCTCATAAGGAATTGTTGTCTTCTCACACTTCTTAATTCATTTAACAAGAAAAAGTACTTTAGAAAGAATTCCTCCAGAGGCAAAAACAAAACAGTGGGGTGGCACGGAGGCATGAGAAAGAGCCTTAAGTAACAGGTAAAACTGGAGGACATGATATGTCTAAGCAGGGGTGCAAAAAACTCAGAGAAAGTTTGGCATTTTGCTTAAATTATTGGTTATTTCTTCTTTAACAACCCAGAGTGCTAGTCTTGGACACCTGGATTATTTGCTCAACTGGATGTAAAGCAGAAGTGAGCAAAGAAGATTAACCCATGGTTGGTTACAATGTACAATGAGACATAGTCTGCAAGACTTGGTTGCTAATTTAAATAATAGCTCAGGCAGGCTTTTAAAAACAACAATGAACACATTTATGGAGGGTACTACTATCAATTAGTAACCATTTGTTATTAATTTGGGTGTTGGTTATGACCTATGGAGCCCTCAATGGCTTGGGCCCTGAGTATCTGGGGGAACGCTTGTGTCCATATATGCCCTCCCGCCCCTTGAGATCAGCAACAGATGCCCTTCTCCGGGAACCCTCTGTGAATATTAGGAGGGTGAGTACCTGGAGGAGGGCCTTCTCTGCAGTGGCGCCCCACCTGTGGAGTGTGCTCCCCAGAGAGGTCTGCCTGGCACCGTCGTTATTTGTTTTTCGGCGCCAGGCTAAGACCTTTTTATTTAAAACTTATTTTAAGTGTTAATTTATTGTGTAGGATTTAAAAAAAAATTAAGCCAAGATGCACCAGGTTTTAATATTTTTAGTGTATAATTTTTGTATAATTTTGTATGTTTTTGTTTTTGTTGTGAGCCGCCCCGAGGCTTTGTTGCGATGGGGGCGGCATAGAAATGTTTTAAATAAATTTGTTAACTATTCGTTAACATTGAATCAGCAGGCAGTATACCTCTCAATACTGGGTACTAAGGAGAGCAAAATGGGAGATGTTCACTTTTATTCCCCAACTGTGAGTTTCTTAGAGGCATCTGTTGGGTGCCTCTAAGTACTAGACTGCAGAGCCAGACTGATCTTTGGTCCAACTGAACGCAATTTTTCTTGTGTCTTTATGTTCTAATTCAGTTTCCTATACATGAGCAACACTTGCTAAAAACATAGAAACATAGAAACAGAGCGAGTCAGAAGGGGTCTCCTGGGCTATCTAGTCTGACCTCTGGCACCAGCCGGCTCCACTCACGACATGCCCACCATGAAGAAGCCTGAATTCCCCCCCCCCCCCACAGTGGCAGTTCAGTGCTCTACATAGCTCCTGATGCCTCCCCATGACTTGCATGATGGAATTCATTTGGAAAACAGTCATAATTGCAGAATTATAAAGAAATTATGCAAACTGAGATGCTCTGCACAATTTTGGCACACAACTTCAGTATTTTTCATATAGAGTACACATAGCCCTGCTTTTAGATCCTCTCATTCATTCAAATCTGCCATCTGAAGGTTAAATAAAATGCCTTACAAGAAAAGTACAACCGATCTGTTCGCAATAGTCCCATTTCAGACAGTAGAAAATATAACTGCAACCTTCTCAAGGGATTGCTATCTTCTCAAGATACTATTGCCAGAGCAGAGATTCTGCGGCAGGTGAGAAGCTAAATGGCTCTGGCCCGCTTACCAAAGCTGGAAGAAACACTGTTTTAGCTGTAACAGTCCAAGCCACCAAGTCAGAACTGGGTTGTCCCATTATAGAATCTACTAACTAATATGGTCAAAATATGGTACATATGCAAATTCCGGAGCAAACAAATCCTCTTCTTACATAAAAATCAAAAGATTCATTCACCGGATTTAACAGTTCAAGTAAGTACACTGAAGTAATGATTCACTGGCTTTCATGCTCATCACTCACCATTCTCATCAAGTAGGTCTTCCTCATCATCCCCATCATTGTCCTCTTCCATCGCTTCATCCTCCTCTTCCTCCTCCTCCTCCTCTTCCATATCCTCCTGCTCCAAGTCTGGGTCCACATCTGGATCACTCCCTGAGACTGACTCGTCCGACATGATTCCCAGTCACACTCCCTGTACATTACCTGCTCATGATCTATGCTAAGGCAGCCCTGAAAAAAAAGAGGACATAAAAATCAAGCAAAACTCACAAGTCAGGTGGCATCATACCACTTATCCCAATTTGATACAAGCTTTCCAGATCCCATGGTTGCTAACTAGAATTTCTTCTAAGTAAATCAGTTCCTAAGGCAAGTGACAGCCACTTTAATAACAAAGCATTACAAGGGAATATGCACTGCAATGTCTCCATCCAAACAGTATTTTCTAGTTTAATACTGAGAACAAAATGCTATAACCAGAGCCCAAAAGCAATCTACAAATCTGTAGATGGCACCATTTACAAGCTGATGCAAATCCAAATTTTCCAGAACTATATCAAGCAAACATAAGTGTTGTTTTGTACTATATTTGAATCTCTCATAGTTTATTTTAGTCAGCTGCACGCAACATAAAAACTACATTCTCTATGACTTTGCTACTTCTTCTAATTACATATTGCTCTCATTATCTCAAAATCTATCTTTATTCTCTATGACATACCTCTTCTGACACCACATTATAGTGTTTCTACACCTGATAGCCAGTGTGAGATAGTGGTTAATGTTGGACTTAGAAGAACCCAGGTGGTCCAGGTTCTAGTCCCCACTTGACCATGAAGCTCACTGAGTGACTTTGAGTCAGTAACTAACTCTGATTCCAACCTACCTCACAGGGTTGTTGTTGTTGTTGTGAGAATAATATGGAGCTAAGCAACCTTACATTCCTCACAAAAGGAAAAAGGGTGGCATATAAACGCATTGTATAATAGCAGTAGTAATAATAATACAATGCATGAATAAAAACAGCAGTGGATAGTTTACTGTGGATAACTGCAGCCATGAAGGGAGCTAGCTATCTGTACCATCCATGTATTTTCTACGTTTTTAGACTGGGAAGTTTTTTCGGTCTGCAAGCCAAATGCCAATCTGGGAAGTCTCGAGTTGCATTCCACCTGTGGAAATGACCAAAGGCGGAGGGGATAGGACCATAATGCAATTATTACTGACTTTAAGCCTTCTCAAAATTAAGTAGAACAAGGTTTTTACCTATCTACTGAGATATCAGCAGACAGAATCATGCAGCAGTATTTTCAGACAGCATGCTAAGTACCAAACGTTTGTAAGTGTACTTAGAAGCAAACATGGCACACCCCAGAAGTAAGCAGGACTGAATCATTCATTTCTTCCTAAGGCCCTGCTCACTTTCCCTAACTAGAAATATCTCTAATACTCTAAAATTGCATTCTAATAAATGTCACAATGGTTTCAGCCCCTTTCGACAACATACAATGGCTGAAAATAAATATTCAACATATGAATTTAATGTTATTGCAAACTTAAAAGGGAATGTATTTTTATTTTAAAGAAAATAAATACATGAAAAACAGATCCCACTGATTTTAATGGAACGCACATCCAACACATCAGTTTATCCTGATGTATTGCTTACTTGACTAGTCCACGGCTTATTAAAATGCTATTGCAACTGTGTAGCTACAGGGTTAAATAAAAGCTGTTTCTAAAAGGTTAACTAATCCTTCGAAGATCCTGGTTAAAACAATAGAGTTAACTCCTTTGAGAGTTTTATCATTGTAATGAACTATGTACACCCATCTGAGTTCCTAGCATTTGCTCTGTTTTCAGTTACATAAACATAACTTCTATACAGGGCTTCCAGCCAGTCTGGCAAACCAGATACACAACATTAATACTATATCACAGGCAGGTAAGAATTATAGACACTAGCCTGCCCTCATTTCTCACAGAAGTTTGACCCAGTTCAGATCCATCCACAAAGGAAAATTATGTAATACACTCAGCCAACCTGTCTCTCTAGTTTTGTGGACAGATTATTTCAACTACCCTATCCCACACTAAATGTATTCCATATTTAATCACTGAAGATAGGGGACTTTTCAAAAAGATGAACAGATTACCCTCAAATGTTTAGCTAGCATTTGTTTGAACTTAAGTGATACTTAAAGTAATCTTACTATTACCATAGCAGAGCATTTTTCATGCACAAAGGAAGGAGTTTACATACAAAGAATTCAACAATATTGCCCAATGTACCAGCATTGTGTGAACAAAAAAATAAAGTGACCTGAAATATGTGCTAGAAAATATGAGGTTATAGTAGAAAGCAGCAGGATAGAAAGTGGAAAAGAAGTTGACAAATTACTTGTTACTTATACAGAAGGGAACCTTTCCTCTCATGATGTTAAAAGGTAACAAGGCATAAACATCAGCTTCATCCCTATAATGACCTCCAGTAGGACATTATAATGAATAATTGGGAATCATGTTTTGCTTATTATAATTGTTTACATATTTTGGATGGCCTTACTGACCAAGCCAAAAAGTTCTTGCTGGCTAGAGCTGATGGAAACTGGAGTCCAACATTTTGAAGTCCACTCCAGCAATAAGGTAATGGTAAAGATTCCCCCACACATACAGTACATGCTGACTGAAGAGCCAGTGTTGTCTGAAGACACTTCTGTGATCATGTAGTTGTCATGACTAAATGCCAAGGTGCATGGAACAATGTTACCTTCCCACCAAAGTGGTACCTATTTATCTACTCACATTTGCATGCTTTCGAATTGCTAGGTAAGCAAGAGCTGGGAGAAAGCAGCAGGTGCTCACCCTATTGCACAGATCTGAACTGCTGACCTTCCAGTCAACAGCTCAGTGGCTCAACAGTTTAATCCACTGTGCCACCCACATCCCTGCTGTAGATAATACTAATTTTCTCAGTGTAAATGGTATTTTCATCAACTCAGTACTTTATTGTAAACATTTTTTCAATTCAATTTTTGGAAATTATGAAGTAAACTGTCAGATTGAGAATTATATCAAAACACAAAAACAGTAATATATTTCACCATTTTTAATTTAATTAGTGGATGATTATAATTATATGTTCATGTAGTACTTCTTAAAAACAAGCAGAATTCAACTTAATCTTTTGAAGAGTTGTCCTGATAAATGTTTAGTATATTTTCATTTCTATGCCACTTTAATATAGTGTTTAATGAAATTTATGAAGAATATAGAGACTCTCTTAAATCTCAAAAGGATAGGGAGGGTTTGTATGGAGAGAGGTACATCCCAAACAAAGTGTGGCATGGACAACATTTATAGATTAAGACTACAGAGGCCACAGAAGGTTACACCTAATCAGTGCATCAAGCAGGACAGGTTGTATGTTTCCTAATTTGCAAAATGAGGAAGAAGCCACATGCTGTACCAGCTGTAACTTCTGAACTATTTCCAAAGTAACCTTGCAGAGCAAACCACAGTGATCTGTCCTTGAAGTAACAAAAATCTTCCCATGCTCCAGTCTTGAAGATTCTACCCTACCTATCTCACAAAGCTGTCTGAAAGCTATGTAACAAGCAGCTTGTAAGCGTGTAGGCTCAGTATCAGGTTGCACAGTCCCTTAAGATAATCTACGCAGTTTGCAGACATGAGAATTTGGTAATACTCTCTTTGGAAACAACCAAGAAGAGAGCGATAGAAAATAGCAGTGCTAAATCTCCAGTGAAGACTACTAAACTAATGTTCCACAATGGCCTGCCACAGTGATAATTCAATGATTCATTAATGACTTAGAAGGAATGGGGAGCAACTTCATTAAAGTTACCAGTAAAAGAAAATGGTGAAGAACAACAAAGAAAGATTTCAGTACAAAATAATTTTGACTCAAAAACACTAACATCTTATTAAACATTTTCTCTCAGGAAGAAAGCTGCACTGATGCAAAAATGCAGGCAAAGTGATAAAACATTGGTAACAATGTGATGCATGTAGAACAGCTGTCCAGAAGTGGTGGACTACAGTTCCCACCATCCTCAACCAGTTTGGCTAATCATGAAGCTGACTTGGGATATGGGAATTGTAATTCAATTCATCTGGCTTTGTATTTACATAAAAACATTGGTGGTGATGGTGCTGCTCTGGCACAGCATTGATTGGATCTCAAGAGGAATAGCCTATTAAGTCTTTTCATTTTCTATGTTAAGGATAGCACAAACACTAGAAGATAGCAGCAAAGCCTGTGAACCAGTGTTCCCCAACATGACACACTCCATATGTATCAGACAACAACTCCCATCCTCTCCAGCTAATGGCTACACTGGCAATTATACTCCAATATATTTGGAGGATGTTAGGTTAGAAGGCTGTTCAAAAAGATGTGGAAAGTAACACAGAAAGCTAAATAGCTAGTTTGAGTATCTCCCCGAAAAAAGGGGGAGGGGCATTGTATGTGCCTAAATTTGACCAAAAATAAATAAGGGAAAAGTAAGGATCAGCAAACAGTAATTTTTAAAAATGCTTGTCTAGCAAAAAAAATTGAAATGTACATGGCTAAGGAATAAAATATTACCTAGGTATCTATTTCCTAGCTTTTTAAGACAAGACTGACTAAGCACTTATCAGAGATGATAGGCCTGATAGCCTTTTGAGTGCATTACAGTATGTTGTTAAGGAGGAGAGCTGATCCTGACAAAAGCAATTCAAGTAAAAGTTTCTTCTTTAGTTTAAGACAATGGATCCAGGGAAGGCCTAAAAGCACCCAAAGGTCCAACTACATCCTAGAAACCTAATATTCCTACCACTTTGGAAATCAGAAAGCTTTAGAATAGTGATTCCCAAAGTGGATGGTACTACCCCCTGAGGGCAGTGGAAAAATCTGGGGGTGGGGATAATCGGTTGTTTTAAATTGGCAGTAGAGAAATACACCTAATACAAAGAAAAAGGCATGGGGGCACTAGGGTTGTTGTCCAACATGAAAAGGGGGCAGCAGCCCCCAAAAGTTTGGGGACCATTGCTTATAGTAAGCTTGGGGCAAGCATAGATCACCCAATCCTTTCACTAGAACGGCATGCAAGCACTACAGGTCAGGTAAGCATGCATGCAAATTATGTAGAAAACTGTGATTTAAATCTATTCTTATTGACTAGTGATTTAAGTGTTTTAAATCAATTCCACCCTGAATAAGACTGAAC